ATTTTATTTTATTTTATTTAGGAAACAAACAGTCACATAAAAAACAAAACTTATATAAGAAAACAATAGGTTCAAAAAGACTTCGAGTTCCATACAATTTTTAAGTGTAGCATGAAAGTAACCTACCCACAATTTATTTTAAACAGAATACACAAGCACATGCAGTCAAACATAGGTTACATTATTTTAAGAGAAGGTTGCGCAATTTAATTTTATATGATGCTAAACTGTGGTTAAATACATCTATTTCGTTAAATTTACAATTATAAGTGTCTGTGCTACGTCTGAAGAAGCTATTACTGGTGTAAACCGTTTTATAGAAAGGAACTGAAAAGAGTTTTTGTGAACGGGAACCAGGTCTGGGTACTCTCAAGGCAATTTCTTCCAAAATTTCAGGGGCGTCAATGAAATTATTCAAGATTTTATAAAGAAATACTTGGTCAAACATCATGCGTCGGTCGGCAAGAGTAGTAAGAGAGTGACGAGTAATTGAATCCACGTATGATACACATTCATGATTTCCACGGTAATCTAAATGTTTAATAAATTTCTTTTGCACTTTTTCAATGCGGTCAATATGACAAGCGTAGTATGGACTCCAAACAGTACAAGCAAAATCCAGCAGTGATCGGACGAAACTAAAATATAAAACCTTCAGAGTATGCGGATATTGAAATGGTCTTGAAATTCTTAATATAAAGCCAAGTTGACGGAAGGCTCTGCTCACTATGTCGTCTATGTGTAAACTAAAGGATAATTTTGAATCCATAATTATACCCAAGTCGCGCACAGCCATTACCCTACTTATAGATTTATTATTGATCTTGTAATCAAAATTTAGAGGTCTATGTTTACGGGTGTAGGATATAATAGAACACTTGTCAAGGTTTAAATAGAGTTGATTTGATGAGCAATATTCAGATATACGGTCTAGGTCACACTGCAGTTCCAAAAAATCGCCATAACATGTTACTGTCTTAAAAATTTTCGCATCATCCGCATACAACAGAATTCTTGAATAATTAATGACTTTATCAATGTCATTAATATATAAAATAAAAAGTAACGGGCCTGCATGGGATCCTTGAGGAATTCCCGAAGGAATTTCTAGGAATCTAGACAAATATCCCTCTATAGAAACTGCTTGGGATCGGTTCCTGATGTACGAGTTTATCCAGCGGAGTAGATCGCCATGTATACCTATAGTCCACAGTCTCTCTATAAGCAAATCATGATTAATTTTATCAAATGCCTTGGAAAAATCAGTATACACAACGTCCACCTGTGACCTCTTGTCCATGGCGTTCACTAAATAATTTGTAAAAATAAGCATGTTAGATTCAACAGAACGACCCCTGCAGAAACCATGTTGACTGCTAGAGATATTTATGTTATTAGTCCCATGTAATAGGGGGTGAGCCTATTGCCATACTTACTTGATTATGTTCAAAGAAATTATTTCTGTCTTGGTCATTACTCTAAAAATTCATAGTTAAGTGAAACTAATTTTTTATTACTTCAACTGGTGTTAAAAACAGTATTTAAGAATGTTTTTGTTAATTCTATCATTACAGGTAGTGGTACATCTCAACCAGTACGACTTCCGTGAAGCTAAAACGATGTGGTTCGACCTTTTGCCGGAGACGTCGCCAAGAGATTAGACCGGGCATAGGTGCGAACCTATGTTCTAAATTTTATGAAAGTACTTATGAATCTTATATTTTGCGTATTGCAGACGCCATATTTGCTGATCTGATTGTTAACTATAATGTTCATTGTTCAAATCGCATATTATGACAAAGTATTATGAAGGCTTTTTGTAATAAAAACAAACTTATTTCCATGTTATGTAGTTGTTGAATTAATCTATGTATTTTTACACTTGTTTACATTGTTATGAATGCTTTCTATGTTTATTTATTTCTCTAAAAATATCTATCTCCTATTATTCTTGCTTATGATCATACAGTGTTGTTATATGAAGTCAGACTAATGTCAAGTTAGCTTATGATTATTATTACTGCATTTAAGTCAAGTCGCATATTTCTATATTTTGTGAAAGTGATTGAAGCTATGTTTGTTACTTTTATATCGCTATAAGTGTCGTCTTTGAGCATTAAATATTTTAAAAATAATCCAGTTTTGTTTTAATTTAACTAAATACCTAGTTTTCAATTAATTTGTGTTGTGTGAATTTTATTCAATGTCAACAGAAAACTGTTGTGGTCAGCATTGCCCACTTTGGCGATGAATGTGTTTAATTTATTGGGACCCACTGTATGTCACAACCAAAGAGTATAATAAGTATAGGGGAAGTCACAACAGGAGAAAATCCAAATGGTTGGCCCATTAGGATTTTTAAAACCAAATAAAATTATAAACTATGTTTAAAAAAACGGACTCGAACGTCCTTTTTTTAAGTTGGTTAATTAATGATACTAAAACCTTCTTTTACATGTAACAAATACTTTACTGATCACCGCATCGAAATTGGTTCAGCCAATCACAAAATAATCGTGCACAAACATACGTACATACAGGTCAAACTGAAAACTTCCTTTTATCTTATTGAAGTCAGTTAATGAAAAAAACTCCAGCACTCTGTGCTTAGCTTATTTGAGCTATAACACTGGTATCTGGTAATGTAGGTAAAATATCAGTAAATGCTTGTGTGATTTGTAAACATTATGTAATTAATGGAACAATCTAAATAGGTTAGATGAAAAATATTTAATACATTAATCCACACTCAGATGTAATTGAACACAGTCACTAGTAAAACATATTTCACAGTCTTCCTTAAAGTTCTGAGCTTATGATAAAGCATGGTCTTCACATCACTTAAATTATTATATCAACGTTCCATGGGAGCTGGAACAATTTTTTGTGCAATGATTTTTCCATAGCCACCTCTACCTCCATCATAATCTGTTCTGTACTCGTCTCGTACCTAGAAAATCCATAGACTTTTAGTAAATATGGTAACATTATCAAATATTCATGAAACTCATCACTATGAACAGTTTTTCTGAAACATTAATTCAGTAATATAAAGGATAATAGAATACACTATACCTGTCCTCCAGTTTTGCCTCTCCCATATTGTCTGCCTTCGATAAATCCTGCATCCCAATCACAACGGATGATTCGATCGTCAAGTCTTGTACCATTTATGTACCTGTAACATTTAAATAGCAATTACTAAGAGATGCTGTGACATGCAATGAAATAATAAATGTTATGTATAAAGAATAATACACACTTTATTATTAAATTACGAAAAACATTTATGTTTTGCATATTCTAGAATTTGTACAAGAAAACACAATTGTAAGTCACATGTAGGAATAATGTGGAAAAATCTAGGCAGGAAAATTATATGTATTACAATGGTCACAGCAATCCACTGAATGTTTATGTCAGTTAAATGGTTGATGTAAGTTATTTATGTTTCAGATTTTTGCACATTTTTACTAGTAAGATAGGAAGACAATGCATAGTAGATCATACTAACCTCATACAGTTTTCTGAATCTTCTCTAGTGTAATATTCCACAAAGCAAAATCCACAGGGAGTCTTTTTGTACTTATCTAAGCCCATTATTACTCTTCTAATATCACCGCATCGTGAAAATAATTCGTATATTTGTTCTTCTGTTGTATAAAATGACAGGTTCCCCACGTAGAGCGTTGATGACGTTTTCAATAACTTTTCTTGCTCACTACGGGAGCCCTAAAAATGTAAAACGAAAACATTAAAAGTAATTTTGAAAAAAATTGTTCGTCTGTTGCCAAATTATGAAAGACCGTCGAATTTCACATAGAAATAAGGAAACAAAATACCTTGAAGTGTTGATCACGATAGGAACTTATTTCGATGGATGAATTCATAGCTCCGAAACTACGTTTCATACCAATTATTTAATTCTAAATATACATCCAATTGCAGTGTATCTGTAAGTAGAGTACGATGGTTTTAATTTTTACAACTCAACAACAACTCAACTAACAACGCTTCACAAGCTCGTTCGTAATTACTGACATTAAATTCAATGAGTGACAATTTACATTTTGGCAATGACAAGTACCAATGACGTATAGAAAGTTATTGCCAGGATATATATAACACAAGGCATTTTACATTCTTAAATTCTCTACTTGCAAACTTATATAATGAATGGTACAGAGTGTCTATTTAACTTAACAGACATCAAGGGGAAGCAGACCAAACATAAGCTATTTGTGAAGCCAAAAAACAAAAATGCACAAAATAGCTTAAACGGGGCCGGACTAACGTCAGTATTCGAAATAAAGGACATTATTAGGTACCTACATAGAGATAAGCAAGTTTTTGAGATAAGTAGTTAATAATTATAAATACTAACTAAATATCCATTTTTATTATAATTTTTATGTATATGTTACCGGAAATATATAAGAATCCTATGGAATTCTAAATCCGTCCTCTGTTTATTCTACAAGTTTTTGAGGTGGCTACATAAGCCATAAGGTTGATTCTTGACAGAACAAGGACAAAGATTGGTGGATATCATTATACATTAAACATTACGTATTTGACTAGGAATTAATGTTTGGTCTGCTTATTGTAAGCCTATAGTTGTTGTTGTCTGTTCGGTTAACATTTACATCAAAGAGAATATAAGTTGTCAATTTGACAATCGTTTTGTTATGATAAAGTTGGTAGACTCTGCTGCATGTCAAAATAAAAAAAGAACAACAAAACAAAGCAGAGATAACAAAAAACATCTGGTCAAAATTCCCGCTTTTCATTTGTTGCGTTTTTAAATTACAGTTAAGTTTAACGCTGGTCTAAAAGTAAGTGGTGAAATATAAGTGTGGCACATAAACACAATTGTATTACTTCTGTTTCGTATACATAATAGCCATTATATTAATTTTGTATTGAAACAATGGCTACCGTCGAAGAATTTGAAACTTTAGACGAAGAGGTTAGAGAACTTATTCAAAACTATAAACATAAGAGAGCGACTGCGTATGAACCCTGCACACTCAATAATATTAAAGAGTGCCTAATTGGTCTCAGTGAAGTAAGTTACAGTATCATGTGTGAAATAATTAATATGTCCAAAAATCATTTATAATGTCTACCTGCACTTAACTATTTTTAGGAGTTTGGGTTACTCAATATCAATTACATTTTTAATCCACACGTAGATGTTATTAATAATACCATACGCTGTGAAGCCGTCGTCAATCTTATGAATGCAGTATGGACATTATTACAAACTTTTAAAAATGTGTCGGAGAAGGCAGCTAATCTTGAAGAGCAGAATCATATCCTGGATCATAACAATAAACAACTCAATGTATGTATAAAATAACACATTATATAAATATAACTTAAAAACTTTAAAAGTTGTCAATGTTAATACAATAATATTTTACAGGGATTAGTTGGGAGGTTGAAAGAAAAGATAAGTTTGGAGAAAAATGAATCTAAAGCATGTGTTGCATCAGCCCAAAGGATATCGGACCAATCGGACACAATGTTACACAAGCTGACTGACATGCGTGCCAAGTTGCTACAAGTTACTAAGCAAAAGGAAGCCAATGAACGACAACTACATAATGAAATCACCAGGCTCAAGTTACAAAATGAAAAGCTTACTGATAGACTGAGGAATAAAGGTAAAATCCAATACTTTTTAAACAGACAAAAGAGGAAAGAGAGTTTCTCCATGACCACAAATATAACGTTTTAACAATTGTCTGTTTTTGATAATAATATTGTTTTGAATATGGAACAAAAACCATATTATAACTAAAATGCCGTTATTTAACATCTGGTTGTTTTCCAACTTTTAATGCTATATTAAAATTAAACTGTCAAACACCAAGCGTCATGAGAAAGTTATTAGCAGACTTAAGATCTATCAATCTTCAATGATTGTGAACTTTCCATGTCTTGAATAGTTTTGGAAGTCTCTAATAGGTGTGGTCATCTAAAATTACATTGGTTTAAAACTCAGCCACAGTTTTTTGTGGTGTTTACTTTAGTGGATAACGGCATTATAGTTATACTACATCAGTATATAACAATTGACTCAATAGTACAATTTTTGCAGATGTTCACAGTCATCCTAATAATGCATCTCATGCAGTATGTAAAACTTTGAAAACAGAACAAGAAGACTACAACAAACATTTGAAGAAAGTTATAAGTAAACTGGAGACCAATAATCAAATGTTATTACAAGAAGTTCTCAAACTTAAAGAAGAACTCCTTTTCAGAGGAATGGATCAATTTACTCTAGACAATGGAAAAAATAAATAACTTTCCTATATTCTGTGTCAGGTGTCTCAAGTTACCTTTATGAGCTGTGACTAATCGTTTTAATTTACTAATGTTATCAACTAACTGACTGATTAGTATTGTATTTTAATGATCAGTATTATAGCACTTAACTAATGATAATTATGTACAAACTAAACCTGGCTAAGTGATCATTGTTACATTAGAGCTGAGCTCTGAAATAATAATTAAAATGTTACTAATTTTGTAAGTTTGAATCTCAAATAAAAGTTGATAATAAAATGGTTTTATGTTTATTTTGGCATTTTTAGATATTTTCGTACATATATATAAACTCGTCAAAACAAAATAGGGGCCCACCAACGAAAATTTCGTAGGTTTAATTGTCTTAATATAACTCCATAGATATTGATTGTTAAAATAAAGCATTTGATTATGTAGTAAATATGTTCATAAATAATTATCTACTAATGTTTCAGACAAAAGTTTGAGCGTTTTATTTAAGTAGACAAGCAGAAACAGTGAAGTACTTGAAAAAAACGTGACATGAACAAATCTTATGTCTTGTGTTCATGGTGTGACTGTATGAGTAATCTTTTTTTTTATAGCATAAGGCGGTAAACGAGCAGACGGATCACCTGATGGTAAGCAATCCATGTAAAGCCCATGGACACCCGAAACACCAAGGTGTTACAAGTGCGTTACCGGCCTTTTGGGAATTTGAGGATTGTGGAGGATTCGGGAATTCGGGGAAATGGGCCTCCGGTAACCTCACTCACACGACGAAACACAACGCAAGCGTTGTTTCACTTCGGTTTTCTGTGAGGCCGTGGTAACACTCCGGTCGAGCCGGCCCATTCGTGCAGAAGCGTGGCTCTCCCACACGTTGAATGTTGCTTTTTTGCGAGTTTTTGGCTTGTATGTTAATTGTGAATACTAGGTATGGTTGATTTTCAATGTGATTCGGAGAAGAACACCGCTGCTAGGGCAGTTGATCTGCTTCAGGAGGGACAGTTTTAGAGAGTTATAGCAATTTGTGACAGTGTATCTTAAGGAGGTAATTGAAACGTGTGAAAATGCTATTGCGAGATTTTAAGTAATAGATAGTATGAGGATCTTCTGCGATCAAATCTATAACCAACTGCACGAATGTACTTGCGTTGTACCATCTCCAAAGTATCATCATATTTCTTGTACAGCGGGTTCCATATAGGTACTGCGAATTCCAATTTAGGTCTAATTATAAATTTGTATAAATAGAAAAAGGTTGAAGGTTTACGAAACTCCCTAGAAGCCCTCACAACGAAACCAAACATTTGATAAGCTTTACAAACTATTCCATCTATATGAACATTTAAGTGGAGCTTCGAATCCAACCGAACCCCAAGATCACGAAGAGAATAAAACTTTAACCAGGAAAGTATTAGCAAGGGAGTAGTTAAATTCAGTTTTATTTTTCTTTTTGGTAAATGTTATAACGTGACACTTAGGAAGACTGAGAAAAAGCTTATTGGAGAAGCAATAATTGGAAAAACGATTTAGGTCTTGCTGGAAATTAATATAATCTTGCTTGTTATTTATGACTTTATAGACCTTTAAATCATCTACATAAAGTAGAAACTGAGAATGTTGAAAACAGATTTTTATGTCATTGATGAATAAAATGAAGAGTAAGGGACCCAGAATGGAACCTTGAGGGCCACCCGACGTGATCGAAATACAGTTTTACTCGAGTATTTCGAAAATAAATAACAACTTTTGAGTCTTAGTGTCTTTTGTGTCTAATCAATGCCTAAATACCTAATCTAAATATATCGATTCCTAAAAACCAGAAACACATTAGGTATATACTTATATACTACCTAAGTACTTATTTAGTTTTGACGAGTTTAGTTAAGCGTTAATTTTCATAAAGTTTTGTTCTGTACTTTGCTAAGATTGAATTGAAATGTTTGTAAATAAACCATAATGGGTAGAACGATCACACTCCCGACCTCTGTTCACTCTATTTATTGAAAGACTGCAAAAGGATTGAAGCGCAGAAAATAACCATTCGATTCGGCCACATATAGTCTCACTTTCGAGGCTCATTTGCAAACAATTCAGTCTTTCGTCGTCATGGGATGGCTCGGCTAAATGCCAGCTGGAAGCCCTTGAAGCCATCGAGAGGCGCGCCAAAAGGCTCATCAATGACAATTCGCTTGTGAAGTTTAGGCTTTAAAGCCTCGAACACAGGCGTAAAGTCGCAAACCTTTCGGTTTTCTATCGGATACATTTCGGTGATTGTGCGTAGGAATTGTACAACCTTATTCGCTCTAGTCCGTTTCACCACCGTACTACACCGTACCAGACGAACGGCAGGGCGCTACCATTATACAGTGGACATTCCACCCATTCGCACGAAGCGTTTTGCGTCAAGCTTCTTATATATATACTTAAATATAACTTGGAGTCTTCAAGTCCCGACTGAATCGAGGTTGGTTATAGGTAGGCGTGCTCCATCGTCCTTCACATCATTGCTTACCACCAGGCGAGATGCTGACCAAACGTCGATCTATCAAGTATAAAAAAGGCAATTTCCCAATATCTATTTACCCTTCGAATAATACGAAAACTAAATAAGTACGTACATACCTATTACCTACGTATTTCGCAAATTTGCACTACGATGCGCACTAAGCAAGCCCTCGGATGTTGTGAGCAGACTACTGAACTATGGAGTTAATTCGGATTAATTTTACGGTTTAGGCGAAAAACCTGCTTCCTGCATCAGATTTCCCAGTACGTAATTTAAACGTTTGTAACTTTGTACTTTCATTACCTAATTACGTAGGTAGGTAAGTAAAAGTACCTATCCACCATTCTTTAATACATATAAGGCGGATGAAGGCGTGATAATTAATACAACTCATAATATAATTTTCTCAACAAAATCAATATATCATAAATAATTAGTTCTATATAGATAGGTACTACTAGGTAAAGTAATACTTGGGTGCCGAAGTTAATGACGACAACTAATAGTGCGTAAACATCATTATGGGAAGCATGACGTCCACTTATTTACGGTTGGGGTTTCGTTTGTACGTAATACGTTCATAGAATTAATTAAACAGTTTTGTCCGGGCTTTTGCGAGTGTCGCGCAGACGGACAAACAAGCGAGACAATAATATCGAAACCGCGATGCTTGGCGTCCAAGCAACCACTCGTTGAGCGCTAAACTGATTCATTCTGCGTGATTCGTGTACAGTGAACATTCTACATTCGACCGCGAAACCGTGCGCGCGCGCGCCTTGTTTCAACCGCAATCATTTCGTTATCATTAATATTTCTATAAGATTGATAAGATCATTACATCACTGACTGATAAGATTCAAGGACCAAGTTACAGACGAACAGTAGAGCGCGACTGCTGCATGCAGAAGCTGTGGTTGAATTAAGTGTGAAATAATAGACTTTACTGTCGGTTAGTGTTAATATTGTGCTAGACTTTGTCGGATGTCGCGGTACGTACCATGGGGACGACGAAAAGACTGAAGATAACAGTGGTTGGCGATGGTATGGTAGGCAAGACGTGCCTGCTATACGTGTTCACTAAGGACGAATTTCCAGAAGAATATGTACCCACGGTGTAAGTAAGGTTTTACTTAATTTACTTTTAATTTGTTCCGGTAATGTTTTGAGATGGCAGGTGCGGCGTCTGCTAGGTCAATAGGGCGATTGCGACAAAGTAAGTACGAAGCGAGTTCGAGCCTCTGAATTAGCGAGTCGGCGACGTAACATCGTTATCATCGCTCAGATACCTATCTGTATAATTACACAGTTACACACTATAGCAAAAGGATTTATTACACGCTGACAATGGTCAGATGAGGATTTTATTGATTTTTCCCTTTACGTAGAGTATTTATTACACAGTGTAATACACTTACATCATTACCTATCCATGGTAATTTACCGTGACTGACTCACTAATAATATTATAAACTAACTTACTGTACATAATTTATAATTCCAAAATGAGAGATACTTACAAAGTAGGTAGTCAGCTTAAAACCAAAAACGTAGAGTTAGATGGTTTGGATCTTTTTAATTTTACTTAACAATAAAATTCGATACCAGAAATACTATAAAACCACTTTACAAATATTAAGTATAAAACAGGAAATCGATTGTCTTACGTCATTAAAATTTGTACAATACCGTAGAATTATACATGATGACTAATCATACGCTGTAAGGTGCTAAACAAGATATAGGTACCTAGGTATAATCATTTGAGTACAGTAAATCATTTGGTGATAAGAGACTTGCACATTCTGTGTTGTTTGTCATTTCCAGAGTGCTATCAGACGCTTAAGTATTTTTTAAAATTTTCTACCAACCTAACATAGAGCCAAATTAATTTTGTAATGTGTAAAACTGATGCCTATAATCTATTCCTGAACGCGCTTCTCTGACTACCTACATTTAGTCCTCTATCTCTATCACTCTAGCTCTTTAAAATAATTGAAGGCCGGTTTCTAAGTTAGCAGTCGATCCATACGGTATTTATGGTTACTCTTGCTACTAAACGATAACTATCTTAAAACTTTAATCTAATATCATATCTTCCTATATCTATCTGTTGAAATCTGATAGTAGTTATTTACTTGCAAAGATTCCCTAACTGAAAACAAGCGTATGCAAACTGTCCAAGGCAGTTTCAACGTTAATTTTGCAAGAAGTATTCGCTACCAACGGGCCAATATTATTGAACAGGTACCTACCTACTTAGCATTGCGAGCTGCACTATTTATAAAGTCAAATACGTCGTGGCATTGTTGTATTGTATCTACACGTCGCCGCTTCCTCCTTATGAAACTGGACGCACGCCTACAGCAACTTTGATTTCCTTGCGATCCATCTCTACGTTGACACATTTTCTAGTACATTACGTTTATTGGATACTTAACGTAGACATTGCTGTCCTTTGTAATAACGTGATAGAACTGGTTATTAGAGCTATTACATTACATCTTCCTAACTGCAATTTCCTCATGAGCATGAGCAAAAAACGAGAATTGTTTGAATTGTTTATCTCAGAAAACTTCAACATGGATAATAAGTCCATCGTTTAGCCTTGTGTGTGTTTAAAAGGAAAAATGGCAGTTCGCATTCAATAGCTAACATTATAGTATAATTCGGTATCTGTTGGTCAAATTAAACCAGGAAAAAATAATGTGGACAGTCAATAGTATTTTTCAATTCTCCTGTTAAATTAAATAATAATGGGTAAACCAACCTAGGTTCACCACCTCCAACCATTGCTATTGTTTACTAGCGTTATCTTCTTAGATTATACTGAAATGATTTTCTGTCACAGCAATATACCTAATATCAAAGAGTGTTTGTATCCACTAACTTACCAATTACTAATATACTTACCTACCTAAGCTTGCTTACCACTATCTCTAATTACAATAGTGCTGTGGCAAAAGGCAAGAATATGTGTACCTACTTTCTGCAAATTATTAACAGTTATTCCTCTTAAAGCCTTCCTTGTGACCTTTACCACAGTCGTGTTAAAACTTGCAATGTTATCACAGGTTCGACAATTATGTCGGTCACATCACGGTGGACGGAGAAGAGGTAGAGATCGCACTATGGGATACTGCTGGCCAAGAGGACTATGAACGGTTAAGGCCACTCTCTTACACACACGTAAGTTGTTACTTTTTCAACACAATAATAATTTTACATTGTGCTGATAGTAGTATCTGCCAATGCCTTATTCCTAAAAAGCCTTGATTAACACCTTAGAAGTCTAACGTTAGATGGTTGGGTCAAGAGCCTGATGAATAAAGCAATCATCTGGACTCTTACCATCGGTAGCTTGGTTTTCTTCCGTTACTGCTGGGCTACTTTTATATTTGTAAATGTTTATTTTGTAATAAAATATTTAAGAATATATTAATCAAGTACAGAAAATAAATAAAGGAAATAATAATTTTCATCAATGAAGTCTTAGCTGGTAGTCCAGCGTAGGGGATACCACCGAACACGGAGACTCGGGTACATTTTTTTTTTTTATTACAAGCATTTAGGTGTAGACCCCACAAGGGTTCTCACCATTTCTGCTCTGGTGAAAGAGGATAAATTGTGCATTTAAAATATTAATATATTTTAAGATACCTGTCCTTTGTAGGTAGGTACCTAGGTAAGGAAGTCTCTACTTTTCATGTATTACTTTTCTTCTACTACCTACGTACTGGCGAAAAATGTACTGTATATCAGAGTGCACCTCTATTACCCATTTGGGGATAAAATGCGTGTTGTATTATGTGTAAATATTAAGTATTATGTTCCTATCACTAGACAATTCCAAAACCTATGAAAGTAAATGCAGAATGCAGAAAGATTTGTAACTATTAATTACCTACTAAAAAAGAAGCTGATTGTACAGTTTACAATAATGGATAGGTACCTCGGCTTAAAGCTATAGTAATGTTGTCTCCAGCTATGACGAATGTTTCCAATTTTAGATAGCTTTTAAATAATTCAAACGTTATTATTGTTTACATGGTGGAATAAATAATTCAAATGTTATTGTTCTGTTACAGACAAACTGCTTCCTCGTGTGCTATTCAGTGGGCACTCGTTCGTCATTCGAAAACGTGATCCACAAATGGTACCCAGAGCTAAAACACTTCAATGAAAAAGTACCCATTGTATTAGTTGGTAAGTTTCTGCAGATCTATTATTTGGAGTTGCATAGAAAACATGTCTCTTTTCTTTGTGCAGTTAACTCGTCGAGTACCGGTTTTGTAGACACAATTATAGAACAATAGGTTGCGCTCACCGGTGACCGCTTGGTGTTACTTGGTAACTACGAAACCTGTGCTTAAAGCTTACTAAACAGAGATGCCATCTATAAGTCTTGATATTATTTGTTGCTATTGACTTCCATTGTCTACACTGTACATTATAAGCAGCAACACATTATAATATTAGTTCCACAACTTACAAGTAGTTAAACAACCAGTTAGTTTATGCGATCGTCCGTAGTATATTTTTTGTAAATTTGATAATTATGTGCACAGCAATTTGTCGCTATTAGCTGAATGAGGGCTAACAAGGAAGAACTTAATTACTGCCTTGTTCATTTAACACAAAGCAAGCTTTGCTTAATCACCCTGAATTTAACTGTCAAGCTAAATAAATACATAATTATCTAAGTAATTGCATATAATGGGTGATTTATAAATGATATCGATAATAATAATTGATTCATAGAATTCAAATACAAAATGGAATTTGCACGTAGTCCCATCGAATTATTGAATGGCCATGCGATTCAAACATGTGCAGCGCCTCACCTCGACGTACCAAACAACGTCAAACTGTGAAACTATGTTTACTCAGTTCAATTAAAATAAACAATCTGACAAAAGGCGCATTCTTCATACTCTAAGTGCCATGTATGTGTATACATATTTTAAAACACCACACTTTATAGTTATCTACTCATAATAAAACGTTTAATGAGTAAAATATTTCAATTTCAGCTACTAAAACTGATCTGCGAGCATCAGGCAACGCAGTCGTCACTACACAGGAAGGAAAGAAATTAAAAAAGAAAATTAGGTAAGTCCATTTTCCTGGTAAAACAATATCTACTATCAAGTAGAATTATTGTGAAAGATAGTATTGAAACTGAATATTTTTTAAAACAACACAAAAGTGAAAAGTGACAAGGGTTATCGTGCGCGAGCGCCGGCAGCTGTGCTATCGCCTCTTATCACCGCTGATAGTGACACGAGTATTGTGATATAACGACACAGGAACAATTGTTAAATAAATCGGCCGATTTAACCACACTTCAATTTATTAAAACTATTTGCATTACATTCGAAACTAAACACACAAAGTCGCCTTATGTGGGCTGATTTACAGAACAAGAAGTCCTTGGTTTGATTCAAGGTTGAGTTAGTTATTATTGCGACTTTTCAGTTAGATAGCTCAGTATGATTTAGTAACATTGCCATTGCCCATAATTGGTACAAAAAGGCAACAGGCTTCCTGTTTATGACACTATCATAACCGGCAAAAATAGTGTTTCAAAACTGTCAATATAATCCTTGTGTATTCATCTGGAAATTTGTGTGAACTGAACTATTCTAAGATTTTAAAGAACCCATACTTATACTCTTTATTAAATAAATAGTAAATATTTTTTCATTATTTCACATATAAATGGATACGCTAGATAAATAATAGATATATATGTACCTGATAGTTGAGTTTCTATGAGGCTTATCAATCAGAGTGGCAGCGCAGATAAAATCGAGGTTGTAACAAGTGGTGCGCCTGCACTTGTTTCAGAGCGGTGCAGCTGGTGGAGTGCTCGGCGCTGGAGAGAGTCAACATACACGAGGTCTTCGAGGAGGCCGTGCGCGCCGCTCTACGCAAAACCCCCGTGCACAAGCGCACCTGCCAGTACCTCTGACCATCATCTCCTCACACATCGGGACACACTACACTTACTTCAAACTTCCACTATTGTGCGTCACACAGTAGGAATTTAATGAAGCTATTTATATCTACTCATTTCGATTCCAAATTGAGCATGTTGCATCTTATTACTCAATTGTAAGTTAGAACTGCACGTGTCTTTGACTAGAAATAGCTACATACTGTAGGAATTCACTTAATATCAAGTATTATTTTTTGTAATAATGAATGTTTGCAACATATAAACTATGAGATAGTCAAATTAGTAATACGATGAGATTTTAGTTAGGTTTAGCAATTGTATGTGCTATTTATGATGCTTTTGTACAAATATTATTTTATTTCGATGTTAAGTTAAATATGAGAGATGTATATTTCATTTAATTAATTAATGTAAATAAAAAGTAGAGAATAATCTAATGTATTTTACGGAATTAATTGAATACAGCCTAATTGTTTGATATGAAAATGTTACGGGATCGTTCAATTTTAGTGTGTCATGTCAGTACAGAGATTTATTCAAGTTTGAAATGTATTTAGTCTCATCAAGGATTTAGTGTATATGATAAAGAGGTACACTGCCGCACCGTAGGCCGCGCTGTACTCGCGTGGGTTTACTCGTCCTACTTGTAATGTTTAGCTAGTGTAACAACACATGGCAGGTGTACTTAGACACTAACCTCAGTCATCCAGACCGAGGCTGACACTCGGCTGCCGTTACTCACCGGCTGGCTAATAAGGATTTTCCGGAACGCAAGTGGGGTGACGTCAGTAATATACAATACGTGTATAAATTGTATTATATTTTACTTTAAATTGACTGAATCAGTATTTTTGTAGCTCAGGAAACTAATACAAACAAATTGTTACCCACGATATTGCATGCTGTATTATAGCTTCTATTACTTATAACAGGAAAATGTATGGAAATATGTGTTTACATTATAGAACTTGTTGAACGTGTTTATTTAATGTACAACAAGTCATTTGAAGTCTTATCTGGTTTTCTGGTGTCAAGTATTATTTAATCGACCACCGAACAGCAAGCAGACCAAATTATAATTGTCTAAAACTGTTAATGTTTACCAAAAACTCTTCGATTGTAAGTAAATATACGAAATTAAATTATTTTTCACTGTTTTTATTCTAAATTATATGTATCATGTCTTGGGAGAACTAACACTAGTGACTGGTTACAAATGTTTTGTTTATACATTGTTTGACTTGCTTGTGTAACAAGAAAACTAATACAACTGGCCACACCTACGATATGGTTTCCCGCAACAGATTTTAAAACTGTTAAATGCTACAAAGTTGTGGCGAAAAAAGAAACCGCTATAACTCATGGAGAAGATAGTGTTCATATTCTATAGGACAATATTGTTAGGACTCGAGTGGTTGCACGGCTTATATACGTATTGCGTGCGCGTCTCGGACGATGTTACAGTAGTAGGGTAGTAATACGCAGGAAAAAACGGAATTCCGGTAATAATACATTCGTTGCGCTTATATATTTTTTACACGAAAATTACAATTGGGTTTTTCACACCAATGTAATTCTTATGAGTTAATACACAAAAATGCAAGATGTAACCTATCACCTTGAACTGAAAACAAAATTGGAATAAAAGAAAATGGAATGTATTAAAAAAATGTATAATGTGGCATTAATGGCACATACTGACTTATAGAGAGCGTTAGTTTAACATAGTTTGAATAAGAAGGGAAATTTCATAAGGCAGTCTATTCACTGGGCGGGTAACTGGCTAACAAGGTAATGAAAAAAATTCTTGCGGCCAGAAGAACAGCGTCGGATTGGATTCAAGTTTGCCAGTCAGACCGCGACCTGCGTGGCCTTGGCTTGTGATGAAACACCTTAAAAAAAGATGAAAACTGCTTCATTGGCCGATTAGCTGCAATCACGACTGCAGAGCCAGAGTTTTTAGTCAGGAATAGTATTGTTGAGATTTATTTTTATGTTTTGAACTGTAATTAACATAACATTATTTTAAGCAGTCTTGTAAAGGTAAAAAAAAACCTAGGTTGTAGTAATATCTCAGTTATCAGAAACAAATGAACTCGCCTTTCAGTCTAATGAACTCAGATACTCGTCCACATAGAAAGACTGCCTCGAGATTCAGTTCATAACAATAATAGTACCAACTTATTACATGGAATAAAAACAATGAGAGATTACTGTTGGTTTAGAAGTACGAAAGTTGTGCGACCTTTAGTAGGTATAGCTGTTCCCTATGATAAATTGCAAGCGACATGTTTTTCAAAAAAGGTCACATAACATTCAGGATCCTGAATTTCGTAGTTTTACTTAAAGTTAAAAGGACTTAAGTGTCCTTAATTAAAATATAAAATTGATATAAAGAAACTTGCAATGTATCACGTGGAACAAACGCTTTGTACAGTTGTCACTGCACGGGCGTTCAGACGCACGCGTAGTTGAAACACGGCGAGCAGAACGCATTGGGCGCGAAATATTCCTATGCATCCACATGTCATTTCTTCTTTGTACGGTCTATCAGTTTGTTCTGCAACAAAATAAAGTGGCAAATCAAATTTTAGACTTACAAATGCATGTTGGTCTAATCATCGTAAATTTTTTAAGATGAGTACTAGTACCGAACTACCGACTCTGTAAGAGACATAATACTAACAACGGGTACGAAACGTCTAGATTCGTATGAAGAAGTGTTTTACGAAGTCAGATTTTATTACTTTATTGGCATTGCCATTGGGGACCATTTATTACAAAAATACCGAAAAAATTGTCAAAGACAATATGTCTTCAACTATTGTCTGTAATATAATTTTAATGTGTGGGTCATATAGCTAATACTTATCTTCATAAATCCTAACTACAAAAACGTTTGATAATACATGAAATAAATGCAAATTAGTTTATTTAATCTAATCATTGGAATCACAGAGATATCAGTATGAATAAGTTGCGGTGACTTTTGATTGTGTCATGTCCGGCCTCGCCGAACCTCGCATCGTGACGGCGAGCTATTGAATCATTTCCGGTACTTGCATAGGTTTTATGCAAATAATAATCTTTTATCCGTTTTGAACATCTATGTTTGAAGCGAAGAAGATATCATTGGGCTACCGCGGCTAATCTGGTCTTACTTAAAAATATTAAGATAGGTAATATTATTTTGTTTGTTTTGCGTTGAGAATACCACCTACCTTAGCTAAATTGAGTCCAATCTCAGAGAGTCGCTTGTGCTGGTAAGTGAGCGGCTCGTGTAGTTTGGCGTCGCCTCGCTTGTAGAAGTCGCTGTAGTCGAGGCGGAACGCCAGCGTCTGCAGCGACACCTCCGCGTGCAGCGCTAGCTTCAGGATCAACGTCGTCACGTGGCCCCTGGTACATACACGTCTATTATTACCGCTGTACCTCTTTTGTGGAGACAAGAGAATCTTATAGGTACAAGATTAGAAATAATAGCTGAAGTAATACCACGGAAACAGTTCCTTAAATATGGATACCGCATGGTTTACTAAACATAATCATGCTATAAGCATGTGTTTATGACGATAAAGTATAGATCCAGTGTTAGGAATTTTAGAATAAGGCAAAAAGTTAGTGTTTGGATTGAGTGCCCTAACGGCACTGAAATCTTATCGGAGGCAGGGTGTCCTGTCGGCGCTGTATGAATGGGTGTCATTGTGAGGCGTATGAGATTATAGTTAAATCATAAAAAATATTTAAATTATAAAATATAGAAACACCTCTTAGTGTGTTACCATGCAATTGAAAGTACATCATTTTATTTATTTATATTAAAAACTTAATATTTCTGAGTCTTGTGATTACTTTATCGTTTTTAAATGAGAATAAAAGTATATAAAATGATTTAACTATATGAGAACCGATTTAATTTACTTATCATTCAGTCAACTGCGCATGTATGGATGAAAATAAAATATTATGGTCGCAAATAAAGGAAATACATACATATACTTTGGTTTATCCCCGAAAGAGTATTAAGAAAACCCCTGCAATTTCATTCATAAATCCAAAAAACCAATATAAAGCTAAACTTAAACTACAATGAGGATGAATTAGACCACCAGAACAATTCACGTTAGCGATAAAATTTTAGAATCATGCGTCACTAAATAGTAAGTCAGGCGTAAGACGTGACGTAATTAGACACGAGGTCGTGTCCCAGTGACCGTGCAGTGTACCTGTACGTGCGCGCCCACACATTGAGGTCTGCCCTGCGACTGGCCAGGAACTGGTGGAAGATCTTCCTCTTCTCTTTGTCCTGAGCCTCATCTGCCGCCGTGAAAGCGTATTCACCTGTATACAACGATAAAGAAACATAAGATAACCATTCCAAATATCTCATTCTCACTTATGTGTAAACGTTTACAAGGAATATAGCAAATATCCTCGTAATTTGTGGCTGATGCCGACAATGACTATTAGATTATTTCATATGTCGGTGGTGATAAAATGGTTAGACAGTGAACATAACTCATTAGAATCGCTCCCAAATTGATAAAGGTATGTCCCACCAATATATAGCTGGAGTTTCATCACTTAGGACATGTGTAGAAAAGAGTCTCACCGCGCATCACCCTGTCCGCCTTCATCTGTTCGATCCTGTCTCGTCGCTCGAGCTCTGCATTAATACCGGCGTGGAGCGTCGACTCGAAGCTGCGCAGCGCCAGGGTCTCATTCAACACGTTGCCTAAATACGACTGCAGCTCCTACAAAAATAAATTATATATATTTGAAAAGGTTTACTAATTTAAAAAGGGTTGTAAATAAAAAAAATAGGATCTTTTATTAGTAATTCATGCAAAAGTATATATGAAGTATAAATACAATTTTAATGAAAAACCACAAACAAAATTTAAACCTCTGGATCAATACTATCAGTGAATATTATTTTCCTTAATTACTCACACAACAGGATAATATACGAACAATAATGAACTTTCCAACATAATTCATATTATCAGCATATAAAAGTAATTGTAACAACAACCCACTAGGTTTTTAGTTATTTTTATATATGTGAATACTAGTCGCGCAGTTCCGCCCATTCTGTTCGGCTCAGTCTAAAGTCCTCCTCGATAATTCTTTAAAATACTTGGAACAAGTTATGGAGTTTGTCAGTTACGATGAGTAGTCATAAAGTTTACTCGAGACATGAAGTTCAAGTAATGAGTAGTGGCGCGTGACCTGCGTGGTGTGATGTATCATGGCGTGGATGGAGTGTCGGTCGAGCGCGCGGTGGTGCAGCCGCAGCAGCGCGTCCAGGTCGGCGCGCGCGGCGGCGGCGGCCAGCAGCGCCTGCCAGGCCGGCTCCGCGCCCACGCCGCCCGCCTCCTGCAGCGCGCCCATCAGGCGCAGCGCCTCCAGCCGCAGGCACGACACGCGCCGCATCACGCTCCACACCTCTGTACGCGGCGTACACTACATTAGCCACGGCGGTTCGACGTCTATGAAACGACGTTCGACGTATATAAAGGTATCCCTTTGGGGATTTAAAAGAGTGATGTTTGAGAGTGTAACGTGATTACAGAGTGATTTAAGAGTGTAACTAAACGGGATATAAGATACGATATGTTGGAAGTTTAATATGTTCCTTAAACATATAGATGTTTAATGTCAGCATCCCTTTTATCCAGCTTAGCTACAAGTCTGATATAATAAGCTTTTATACTGTTACTAAATTCTTCTAAAATTGGAATCCCCTTTAATGCTTTGCTTAACTCGAAGACTCCTTGTGCTCAGCAATCGCGAACATGTCAAATCAATGAGTGAAAATATTTTACAAATACATAATAAGAAATGTACTCATAACAAGCTATAGCAATATCACCTGGCATATGCTTGAGTCTCTTCTGCAGGATGGCATGTTCACGCCAGGCGTCGTGCAGCCCATACTCGATCCGTTTGACCCGCCACAGCTGTGTGAACAGCGCCCTGTACCGCGCGGCACACGTCGCCGGGAACAATGTACCCAGTGGACCGTCCACTCGGTATTGCAGCGCAAATACGTCCCAACCACAGTCGTCGCGACCGTCACCTGTAACAAATAACCATTAATACCTTGCTTTTTTATAATTATTCACAACAATTGGAGGTATCACTTGA